GTCATATTTTAGGGCATAGAAGGACACAGTGTCCCAGTCGTAAAAGGAATTAATTTTTTTGCTATGAGCATAGATACATGAGTTGTAAATTGCCTTCATGTTTCATCCGCGACCGAAAAGATGTGGGGGGTGGCCCGCTCGCTTGGGTGGCCCGCTCGCTTGTGGATTACGTTAGTTATTTTACGCCAGCTTACTCATCAAATTGTGCATGAAATATGCATCAGGTCAGAATTGAACCGCCGAGTCATCTAAAATCACTGTTCATTGAGAAAGCATCAAAGTCAAGGGATTCCAAAGCAAGACTACAGTCAGACTGAGATTAGGCTTACCAACTGAATTATACTTCAGGAACTCAAGTAAAATTTACTTCTCGACTCAAGACGATAGCTGTTCAGATCTCTAAAAAAACTGGTATATCCGGCTGGTATATCATACAAAGAATAAAGTCCACCTGGGATTCCTCACCATCCTTCTCACCCTAGGAAATATGATCCTACCTTAGTGATTAGGACAGGTCAAATCAAACTTGGCCTTACGGTCCGCGGTAAAAGCACCCCAGTGCTTTTCGTCCTGCATCTGACCGTTGTCGCCCTTGGTGTCGGGCTTCCAGGACTCGTCAAAGGCCTCAAAGTAGAAGACATCAATACCCCAGGCGAGTATGCCACAAACGGCAGACTTGTAGTAATCAGCAGCATTCTCAGTGCTGGCGACGGCCGGTCCGTAGTTGGTTCCACCAGCTGTTAAGGCGTCAGATTCAATATCCACCGTGAACCCATGTAATTCAAGAAACGCAAAACTTACTTGTGGGCCATCCGGTCTCACCGTTGCCGAAGCGAATCTTGCCTGCATTAGAGCCGGCAACTTGCTCAATATGGGCCAGAGCCTGAGACATGTCATCAAAGTATGTGTTGGTGGCATTGCTCAGCTCCTGGCCTTGCCAGTAGGCGAAGCCGTTGGCCAGGCTATGTAAAAATCAGCCAAGTTCTTGAGGCAGACAGATCGGGATGCGGGGACTTGAAGGCAGAATGAGCTTACAAGTAAGTGACACCACCCTGAATGATGGGATCGGCCGTGCCATCAGCAAACTTGTTCCAGCTGTCCACCGTTCCGACGGTAATCTTGGGAAACTCCTTCTGGACCTGCTGGATTCTGCCGAGCAGAGCCTGAGGAGTGAGACTCTTCCTGTAGAGCACTTCGGAGCCGACAGTGATGGCGTCAATGACATCCTCGTTTCCGGGAACAGAGGCTTTCAAGGCGGAGAAGTCCTCGTTGAAAGATTGATCGTAATCGGGCCTACCGAACGAGAAACGTTAGAAACCTAGCCACTTGACGTAAAGAGGATGTAATGGGGCGAGATCCGTACCAGACACCCAGGACGACTTTGAAGTTCTTCGCCTTAGCTGCAGGGATGATATTCTTCGCGGTGTCGCAGTCATTTGCGGAGTAGATGCGAACAAGGGAGGTAACGTCTTTCAACGCATCGAAATCGGCCTCGTAGTCCGACTGGGCTTTGCAATTGCCGTCTGCATTCTTGTTGCCAAGAGCGAATCCCAATGTTCCATTCTTAGAGGCGACAGCGGTACCGGCCGCAAGAGCGAGAGGGACCAGAGTGCTGACACGCATTTTGGATTATGTGTCGTTCAAAACAAATCTATCAATCCTTCGAGGTCAAAAGGGAACGAAAGTGATGACACCAATTGATGTTATAAACAGAAAATTGCTTAAATTCAAGCACGGGAATAGACGAAATAAATACCAGACAAAAATAGCGACAGGAGTACGACAGGAGTAAGGAGCGATCGGAAGGAGGGACGGCTATGCAATAAATAATGGAATCAAAGACTGGCAACCGATCCTGTACGTCAGTCGATGAAAAGAGAGTGTGGAGTAGTTGGAACTCGGAACGGTCGAGAGATCGAGAGAATAATCCAACGAAATAAAGGTCGCCTCCTGAAGGGACTGGAAGAGAACGGACAATTGAAATGTTTGGTTTTGGCTCTCTTTGGCCCGGGGCGCGGAGGAGAACTCGCCATCGCCAGGGAAGGTAAGGCATCGATCAGTCGGTACCTTAGGTCTCCGTTTCAGGGCCAGCGCCCCCTATGGACAGTCCATCTGTGCCACTGTCTGCCATCCAATCCGAAATCTCAATTCGTTGGCCAGCCTTCTTGAGCGACCCACGCGCGGTACCTGGTTTAACGATATTGGGGCAAAACGCTTCGGCGATCCCCATTACCCTTGCTGCTTCTGGGCTCGTCGGGTCAATCGGGTGAAACCTCCACAGGGGTCTTTGGTTCCCCAAGCGGGTTAGTGGATGAGAGGGGCCTGGACCCTGTCCGCTCTTGTGTGATATCTTCATTCTTCTACTCAAGAGGAATCCTCCAGTCTGCACCAAACCTACAGATATTGATGAACAGTGTACAAGCTCTGCAAGTCATCTTCGATGAACTTCCTTTCAAAAAGATATCCATAACCATAATTGCTGCCACCTGCTGTGTCTGCCGCCACCTGGTTGATGCCCTCGAAAAGAACGTGGGACATGTACCACCTTATATGGTCCGAGCCAGCTAATAATCAACCGGCATCGGAGAGTCAATGATGTCACACGCTTCAAACAACACGCATACATTTAAGGAACCCTGGATATTCAATGGATGGAAGAGCCAGAAGCAACCCAACCGGACAAGTCCGCAACAATGACCTATTGTCCTCATCTTTGAAGTTGCCATTCCACCGAGTGTACTCCGTACCGATCTAGCCTTGGTTCTATCCAATTTTGGTTGCCATCAGGGCGAGAACTTTCCATCGGATGAATGTTGGAACTGCAAAATCTTAGACACTGACTTTCCACCACACCCTTCACCCGCAAGCTTACCCTGGGTAGTTATTGAGAACTGACTTTGCCTGTTCAGGGGAGATTATACGACCGGTCATGCCATTGAATCTTGTACTGATGGCCCGCCACTGGTCCTTTTTCCATCCAGCAGCAATTTCACGAAGAAGCGTCACGTCCTCTAGGGTGAAGTCCTGGTCGATGTCCTTGCGACGGGAGACATCGTACTCTTTCTCGAATTCAACCTCTTCAAACTTCAGCACAGACTGTCAGCTACCTTACCCATCATGAAAACATCCGAGTGAGATATTTGGGAGGGCTACTTACTTCGCCATCTGTGACCAAGGGATTGGAAAAGGACACCAGACGGTCTGACTCTGGGCTTATTAATTCACCCGCAGGTTCCAGATTGCTCATATGCCACCAAGTTTTGCGGTCCGCTTTCCTGACACTCTGAAGTCTGCCTCCCTGAATCTCGTTCAGCCGGTCTTTCAGCTCTTCAATGAAACCGTCGCTCAATGCACTGGGTATATGTTTCCTGGAAATCCCACGAGTTTTGAGCTGTCGAGTGACCACGCCATCGTCAAGATTCCACCTGGGAGCATCGTTATTGTCTTTGTTGGATCAGCTCGTCATTTTCCTCCATCCTTAGGTCTTCGAAATGTATCTACCCAACCTGTTCCCCGCAATATCTGTCCACAAAACTTCCGTCTCGGTTTGGGTGTGCCAAAAGTTCGTGTCGTGCTTTGCAGCCACCCTAGCTCGCTGCAAAAGATCAGACTCGTCCTTGTAATTTAGCATCATTTGATGGATGTCGCTGGTACCCTTTGCGCATCAGTAGCCAGCAGGTCTTTGCACAGCGTCCTGGGTCTGAAGATGGAGGTCAGAGGAATCCGATAACGTATGCCGTCAACGACGTAGGCCGGCATCTCGATCGATGCTCAATTCTGCTGGGAATTAAAAGGAGTTGTAGCAAATATGATGTCTCGCAGCTTCAACACTGGTTATCTACAGGAGCTCATGAGCGTATGGATACTCTGTTACCCTCGAGATTGGCCGACCAAGGTACTTTCTATAAAAGGCAACCACTTGTTAAAGCCGAGAGGAAGGCATGCGCAAAATTCTGCCTTTTAGCAGGAGCTTGAAGTGCTCCTTGTCTGCTGGGTGCGAAGCAGTCCTTCATTTGTAATAAGAAAGTTGCTTTAATAGCTCCTTCGTGGTTCAAGGAGGCGTCCTGAATCTACACAATATACTCCATATATACAATCTAGTAGTCTTATTTCGAGGGGAAGGGAACTGTCGGTCTACATCATGTCTTTAATGGTCGGAAGAATCGATTTCGAATAGCGAGCTTTTCAGTTAAATTGCATTGCAAACCAGAACTTTCGCATTAGTTAAACCATTGAGTTGCCATTATTGAGCTAGGTGCAAAGTGCGCGGAGAGCCATGTATGATTATGAGGCGGTTGCTTAGTGATGGTCCGAGCGTCTCGAATTTCCAACCGACAGAGAACACCTTGCGCGTCGGAGATCATCGAGCAGGCCGAACATCACCACTTCCCTCCGAACCTCCCGTCCACGAACTCATTAGAGCTTCGTCTTCTGCATGCAAGCGAAGTCATACACACAATGCGATTCTCCACAACAACCCTTCTGATCTCCGCCCTTGGGTGGATCACAGCCGTGGCTGGGCACAACATCCAGCTCAAGGCACACTCGAGAGAATGCTTCCACGAGACATTGCACAAGGATGATAAGATGACCGTTACCTTCCAGGTCGGCGACAGGGAGTTTGGTGGTAGCGGGAACCTTGAGATTGATTTCTGGGTAGGTCCCCTGAAACTCAAGCTTGTTCTTGATCATTTATTTTGATCGTCGGATGAATCTCGAGGCAATCGGTCAATGGACATGATCTATGAGTTACTAACTTGATTTTTCTGCTGGTTTCTACAGGTTGAGGACCCCCTAAAGAACCGCCAGTACTTCAGACAAGCCGTCTCATCGGAGGACTACTCGTTTACCGCGCACGCCGACGGAAAGTACGTTTACTGCTTCAGCAACGAGGGTTGGACTTCGAACTCGAAGGAAGTGTCCTTCAACGTTCATGGAATTGTCTACGTGCCGGAACATGAATTGGCCCAAGATCCCCTGGAGGCCGAAGGTATGAACATTGCGTATGGGCCTTGGACACGGGCTGTGCGGTGTCAGCTAACAGCTTCTTTGTGCAGTGCGTAAGCTCTCGGAGGCTCTGGCTCAGGTCAAGGATGAACAGTCGTACATTGTCGTCAGAGAGCGCGTACATCGAAACACCGCGGAGAGCACAAACGCCCGAGTGAAGTGGTGGAGCATTTTCCAGCTTGCCGTGCTTATTGGTGAGGGTATCTTTCAGGTCTGGTGGCTGAAGAGATTCTTCGAGGTGGGTGGTCACGAAAGTCAAAGAGTCTTGTCGAAAGTTGTGCTGACATCGAAGTTCTAGGTTAAGCGTGTTGTCTGATTACATTCATGAACAAAGTAATGGAGTTATATCGTGGGTGATGATTGGTGTCTTCGATTGCATTTACGGTCTGAGTGTCTGGCCTTTTAGCATCCCTGCAATAAGACTGTAATTCTTTTGAATGAGCGTGATGAAAATATGCTGTTTTGTGTCGGAAGCCAAGATCGGTTGAATTATATCTACATCAATTCTCGGGGCGCCTCTGTTCGTATAAAGTAGAGGTCAGAAGTACCTGCCTGATTAGAGGACCAGGGCACGCAGGCTTATCAGCCCCGCATCCACCAGCAGGAACCCAAACATCTAGTAAAGTCGAGCATCCAAGCCCAAGATAGCAACTGATCACAATACTGAATCCAGTGAGGACCAGCGTCCGACTACATACCACCTCGTCTTTCATCCAGGTACCCTAAATCTTCAATGGCCTCAGCTCTAGCCCACCATCCAAGCACAGAACCAATCAGAGCCGGTAACGAAACTGTCCTGCGTCTCAGCGATGATCCCCTTTTCGATATATGCTGGGGCCGACAATCGTGCGGGGCGTGTCTGAAAGGAGATGCCCCATGTAGCTGGTGTGCAGTGGTACGTATCACCAGGTCCAGGCGCATCCGCAGCATCCAATCTGCGCCAGCCAGCGGATACGGCAGGATTCATTCGGAATTGAACAATAGTAGGGATTGACAGGTGCTAATCGCGAACAGACGTCAGCGTGCGTCCCGAACCCATCGCGTGTGCCTATATTAGCGCCTTTCGGCTCGTCGAGTATCTGTCCGCTTGGATCGAAAGAGAGATGGGAGCTTCGGGCCATGCCGTTCGGGTGCCATGTTAGCACTGTTACTTTTTTGACGGCTTGCGTGGCTGTGCTTGGGACGTTGGCTTTTGTTGGATTGGGCGTTTTGCTTGTGCGGGCGGGTCAAAGACTTGGGAGGCACTGGGAACGGGGGAAGGGGGCTCGGGTGTGGGAGGGATGGGGTCAGTTTACGAGGGGTGTCCGACAGAAGCTACAGCGTTGGTGGATTCTTCGTAGGAGGTCAGGGTCTGGAGCTGCAGATGAGGATGACTACGAAAGTCCCCGGGCAGAGGCGGAGCCTTTACTGAGTTAGTTGATGGGGCTTGTAAACTGAAGTCTTGCTCAAGATATCGACATTCGAATTAGGTATCTTCGAATAGATGAATCGTATTTGACCAAAGTGTTGGAAATGTAAAACACCAAGGATGTCTTCTAACCCTTGACAACCTGGCTGACCTTGTATTCGACGACAATTGGCTTACCCTTCTCGACTCGGAACCGTCCCTGGCCGACGAACACTTGGTTCTCGAACTCCTTATAACGCTCATCACCGGTCTGTAGTTCTGTTAGAGCCTGCGGAAAGGTAGATCTATCTGCGATGCGACCTCACCTCAAAGGTAAAGTGAGTAAAGGAGTTTCCAAACGGCGTCGCGCCGTCTTCTGCCGTGCCAGTGAAAACAGCCTGTTCCGCGGGCCCCATTGTGATGACGCCGGTGTAGCTCATGTACAGCAACTGTTGGTTGCACCGTCAGCTTCCAACCTCAGTCTTCGCTACCCATATCGTAACGTACAGCATCGTCCTTGGTCCTGCGCAGGCCCAGTTAGCATCATTCTCCACTTCCGTGCTTTCATTCCCAGAATCTGCAATGAAGACTGACTTGATGACTCCGTGAGCATTCAAGCGCAAGTGCTTGTTGTCCGGGTCCGCATGGATGTAATCGTTGCCGGTACCGACGAATTCGGCGTCGAGGGCAAGGGAGTAGCCGGGATCACTTTTGACAGTACCACCGGTCATGGGCTTTGATCAATGTAATGTCTGTGAGCAACGGATGCCGTGCAACGAGTCAGCTTTGTGGCAGGCTTACCACGACCGACAGGCTGTTGGACCGAGAAGCACTGCCTTGCACGAGGTTAGAAATGTACTGGCGATATTTCCTTTCGAGTTGAAGCTTACCAACGGCAAACCCGGGGTCAATTGTGACCTATACCGAGCAGAATGATTAGGCGTCGAGACCAGCGCCATGCTAGTTATCGCTTGTTTACTCACCTGGACTGTAAAGGCAGGCTGGAGAGAAGGAAACTCAGACATGGCGAAACAATGTGGCCGAAACAAATAGGATGTTGCGAATAAGATAGAGGTCAAGGAGGGACAGTGCTCTTCTCAAGTCTACATGCACGAACAGAACGTAGAATCAACTGAGGGGATGCTCAGTTTACGATTTCAAATCAAGAACACCAAAAGGAGCCCCGCACTCCCCGATAAGGTAATATTCCCAGATCCCAGCCTCGGCCATCGCTGGTTCACTACATAAGGTATCTAGCTGTAGCTTAATCGGCCCACGGACTTAATTCGGCCAACTTGTTGGCTTTGATTGTAGATGAGAACTGGCACACTAGAGGAGACGTCGACCCAAAAGAATCATAGCACTTGCAATGTTTCTGTTGAATAGTATGGTTCTACATGCTTAACCTCTTAGTGTGACGATTACTCATAATGCTTAAGCGGATTCACCACAACCCTCGAGAAGATACAGTGAGATTACTCGCAAGGTCCTTCAACCCTTTCGCTTCTGACCAAACAGTCCCTGGCAGTAGCCCACGTGGGGATGGACCGCTGCCTGTTTTGCTGCTCAAAAGAGTGTTCAGTCACGAGATGATGCGTCTGAATGGTCGCGTGTCATGGCGGGGCCAAGATCTACAAAAAGAAAATCACCCTTGCATTAATATCGAGGATGTTGACATCGCCGTCAAAAAACTCATAGTGTTCAATGTCTCTATATAAGCAGACTATGAAGAACGGTTGAGGAAGCAGCGGAACCAGCAAAAAAACAGTCGAATGGAAACCTTCCCCGATTGGGCGATTCACTGTTGGTGCCACGGGACTGATCAGCTGCATGTTCATCATCAGTGACGTTGGTGACAGCCAAGTGGACTACAGTAATTTCGTACCCTTTCCATCAGTTCTGGGTACCTATGCATGATCAATGTTTCGAGTTCTTTCTGACAGGTGATTAAAAGATCGATCCCGCGTCGTCGGGACGTCTTCCCCAGCACAGAAAAAAAAAAAAAAAGCACCAATGATCCCCTATCTCTTTCTGCAGGGTATCCTGGTTGCCGGTGTATGTGCCTTGCCCGTTTTGGAGCAACAACCTCTTGGCCTTGCGCTCCCAGAATCCCACAGTCAATTGGATGGAGGAAGTCAGTTGAAAAAGCCCTCGCGAGGGCTGCATGGGCGTTTTCTCCATATAACAGGTGAGAAACTTTCAATTGTCCGGCTCAAGACTACGGAGTGTCAGAGGTGGGATTCGAAATCTCCGAATAAAAATGCTGATTCTGCCCTCTTTGTTCAGACCTTCACCCCGACCCTCATTACAAAACCGGAAGTTCTAGCGATGACGGCGCTCCATGCCATCGAGGTAAAGGTTCGGCGGGATACTTTGGGGCTGAAGGATCGGAATGCGACTCGCCGTTCTCCCTGATCAACGAAACTTTCAGCTGGATAGAGAGGAATCTGAAGGGCAATATCGACTTTGTCCTGTGGACTGGGGACTCTGCCCGTCATGACAACGATGAGAAGATTCCTCGAACAGAAGATGAGGTCGTTCATTTGAACGAGATGCTGGCGGACAAGTTCATCGATGTCTTCAGAGACAAGCGACTCCCTAACGGTCTCTCTATCCCCATCGTCCCTACAATTGGAAACAACGATATAATGCCACACAACATATTCAAAAGCGGCCCAAATCGATGGACGAAAAGGTTCCAAAATATCTGGAGCAAGTTTATACCAGAGCATGAGCTCCATACATTCGTGGAAGGCGGCTGGTTCACGAGCGAGGTCATCCCGAACAAACTAACGGTCATCAGCCTGAATACAATGTACTTTTTCGACTCCAATTCTGCCGTAGACGGGTGTGGAGCCAAATCTCAGCCGGGATACGAGCATATGGAATGGCTACGGGTGCAGCTTCAGTTGCTACGCGAACGCGGAATGAAAGCCATCCTTATCGGACATGTGCCTCCAGCCCGAACAGACAGCAAACAGAATTGGGACGAGTCGTGCTGGCAGAAATATGCTCTGTGGGTGCATCAATATCGAGACGTGATTGTCGGCAGTGTTTACGGTCATATGAACATCAACCATTTCATCCTCCAGGACCACCACAAAGTCAACATTGCCGATGCCGACCTGAATGATACACCTTCCAGAGCATCGAAAGATGCTACCAGCGACATCTCGATTCAGTCTCGGTCAGGGTACCTCAGCAGTCTCAGGCACGACTGGTCCAAATTGCCGTCACCGCCGCCAGAATTTTCTATGGACAACAGTACGGTTGACGACTGGTTCGCAGAGAACGCGGCATTTGAAGACGACGATGATGTCCAGCTCAGGAAATCCAAGAAGAAAAGGCGACAGTTTCTGAAAAAGATCGGCGGACCTTGGGCTGAGCGATACAGCGTATCGTTGGTATCACCCAGTGTGGTTCCAAATTATTTTCCTGCTTTGCGAGTTGTCGAGTACAACATAACCGGACTCGAAAATATAATGACTTGGGCCGAAGCTCCTGTTGCTGCTGATATCCTACCTTCGTCGACCGAAGAAGCCAAGGAACCTCTGTCAGATTCTGAATCAACCCAAAGTTCAGGTATCGAGGATCAAAAGAAAGGAAAGAAGAAGAAGGACAAGAAAAAGAAGAAGAAGAAGAAGCCTTCCTTCAAAGTTCCAGAACCTCCTTCCCCCACCGCCCCGCCAGGGCCTGCATATTCGAATCAGCCATTGACATGGCTTGGTTATGCTCAATACTTCGCGAATCTTACGGAGATCAATAACGAATATGCTGAACGACATTTTCTCTCGGCCGACAGTTTGGTCAATGAGACGAAACACGAAGATCTCTTTACCTTTGAAGTTGAATACGACACTAAGAAGGATGATATTTACAAGTTGGAAGATCTCACTGTGCGCAGTTACTTCAGATTGGCCACTCGAATCGCAAAGAAAGCCTCCGTGAAGGATCAGATATCGGAATCGGGAGCTACCGATGACCTGCAGGCTGCTATTGATGACGATAGTGATGAGTGGGGAAATATGAAAGACGCCAAGGGAAAGAAGATTAGGAATCGAGTATGGAAAACATTCCTAAAACGGGCATTTGTAGGATACTACAAGAGCGATGAAATTGACGAAGATTGATGGGACGCAGCTGATGGTTACCCATCCGCATGAGGGTTGTGTAATAGTCCACGATCATGCCTTTCTTCGACTATTGAAGTAATTGGGATGGGAATGAGCTTGTCAGTGTTGCCTTGGTATACAACTTAAGACTATATTAGCAGAAGGCGATTCGGAATCGATGGCACTTCTTGAATCTAAATAATCATAAACTATCATTATCAGCAGTGCTTGTATTTCTCTATCCAAATCTGACATCATACTGGCGGTGAAGAAGCTGAAAATTGCGCGAGATTATTCGTCGTGACCGACAAAGAGGATATCACTTCATACTGTAAGTTAAGCGAAGATGGACACGAAGCAAAGCTCTTGGAGTCCTTCACAAATCCCAATCACAATACAGAATTCGGGTGGCTGTAGATGGCAACTGTCAACGGCTCGACAACATGACAATGCAGCGGTCAGTAAAGCGGTATATTTCTGCCGAAAACTGATGGACAACCCTTGGTCATCATTGATGAAATCATCTCTTTTCTCAGTGTTGGGATCATCCATTGGCATAATTCTCATCCTATCATATTTGAAGATGACAGGATAGTTTTCATCAGCCTCATATTCTCATTTATGGTATCTGAGCCCGATCCTTCGGTGCCACGCTGGCAAGTGCCTTGCCAGCTGTCAATAGGTTAAAGTCGGTCAACGCATGCCATCATACCCGTGCCACCAAGGAGCGCGGGCGCTGAGACTCCAACGCTACTCCGTAGAGTCTTAGGCTGCACTTTTAGTCCCAGAACTTCAGATGCCGTCTTACAAGCGGGACAGAGTCAGGCGGGGGCATCAATGTCATCAACCCTCTGCCATCTTCATCTTTAAATTTTAACCAGAGAGGATGCTTTGGTCCTTCTCAAATCCCAGAGAGAGTCTTGGTGGCAGCGAGATCCACCACGTCTTGCCGAAATGTCCCTATCACATCATCCGGCTGGAATTAGAAGCTGCAAGGCAAGGAAAATCAGCAGTCGGGCTCTGACACGTATCGAGCTAATGGATGCGCCGCCCCTCTTGCCGCATGGCTAGCAACTAGCAAGCCTAAGATTTTGCAACTTGGGCTTCGGAGTAGCTGCCATTATTGCCAGCAGTCACTGTAAAATCATAATTGCCACCTTTTGCTCCATGGTAGTAATCCGCTTCACTGGTTTTTGGGGTAAAGTGGTGACCGTGACGGGATACTAATTTCCTACTCTTTCCCCTCCGATCTCCCCGGCCGTCATCGTTGGGGAAGAAAAGCAATTTGGTGACAGCCTGGATCCATGTTCGGGACAGCGACGCGATTTTCTTTTCCAGCGAGGGGACTGCTCTTGTTCATGTGGCTTTAATTAGCACTTCTTCTTCACAGTGAGCTGCAGTCGCTCGCTTGCTGTCCAGGCGTCCAGGTGCACTGCAGACGGGAAGTCTCTTTCCCTTGCTTCATCTTGTCTATAGTACCCCGATCTCTCCAAGCACTTGTATTGATTCAGAAGCCGGATGTACTCATCGTCTCTCAGGGCCAAATTGACGCACTGATCTGTGGCATTGGTTTACGAGAAATCAATCCAAGCACTTCACATCTTCGAATTCTATTGAGTGTCAGCAATTGACTGGCAAAAATTTAGATCAACGAATTGACCACGTCCAAAGACGCGCGATGCATCAGAACTCCCTTCAGCTCTGCCACCACGAGCTCATTGCCCTTTACCTCGCTGCTTTCGACCGCTGCTCTGTTCGTGCCTTGCTTTGCTAGCTCGGTTTACTGCGACAGCTCTTACTCTTCCGTGGCATCGAATTCTTGATCCATTACGCCTTGCGAAGAAGGGTGAACATTCAACGAAACAGTTCTATCGGCCTGCTCTAACATTCTTGAATTTGGTTTATTACTGATTATCAGTGATATTGTATAACAGAACCTTGCGCCTAATATTCTCGTGGGAGGCTCAATTGTCGATTACATGCCATATACCCGTTGTCCAGCCGAGAATCGCACAAGCGCAAACAGGTCGATAACACTGGTCATTTTCTCGGCCCAATCCGCAGTAACCCGCATGATACAGCACACAAACGCAGAGGACTGAACTCAATCGAAGAAATAGCATACGAAAGTGCTTTGAATCTATAGCTAAGCGCTAGCATCAGCCAAGCCAAAACGCTCGAAATTGGCGCTTGTCAAGGTTGTTGCAGGGAACGGCGTTTGACTGATCTTCTCTCTGTTTGCGCGCGCTTCCAAGGTAAGCTCTCGCAGCTAAATGCTGCCCATCTTTCTTTGCCTTCCCCGTCAACGAAATCCAAAGTGCAATTGTGCCTCAGTATTCAATGATCTTCTCCGACTTAATCGTTGCGAAAATACTACCGGATCATCAATCACCAAGCTCACAATGGATATGGCTGACTCCTACGAGGATTTTCCACTCATAGATCCAGAGTCTCTGGCACTGTGGATGGCTTCTTCCGAGGTTGACCAGAAGGCTCTGGGCAACTTCGCTGCCATTATAAGCCTTGAGAATCCATTTTTGTCCGCTATGTTATACAGGGTCTTGGGCTTGTCGGTAATGCTGTCCAAGAAGCTTCTTCGTGCACGAAGATTGCGGCGTCTGGATCCCACCCGGGAGACAAAGTCCCTTCAACTGTATCACCATATCATCTGGCTTTCCCGGGAGGGTTTATTGATTCTGGAAGAATTCGTCCTTCCCATGGTCGAGCCATACGTGGAGTTGAAAATTCTCGCATACAAGCTCAGAGCCTCGTTTTATCATATCTTCGTTCTCTTCCACAACGAGCCGCCAGTCCATTCTCCCGGTCTCATGAGCCTTCGAAGCCACTCTTCAGCGACGGACCATGCTGCCGAAGCAGAGTCGCCCCCAAAAGACCAGGGGTCAAGGTTCTCATTTATTTCCAAACCAGAAGAGATTCCCCTTCCTCAGAATGTGGACTCGAGTACAAAGGGCGCTCCACGACGAAGGGTCACGCAAGCTCCTCCTGGCCTAGCGCCGGTACAACCTCACAAACCCGCTTCATCATTCCTTCTTCCCGCTCTCGATTATACCCCAACTGCCACGGCATGCTTCAAGCACGCCGCTCTCCTTGCTGAACGGTTTCTGCCCGGATCGCATCCCCTACGCCTATCGATCAAGCTCGAATACGCTGCATACCTCTACGATTGTCTGCACGACCAGAATGCCAGTCGACGATTGGCGAAGCAGGCTATAGCAGATGTCTACAATGCCCAGGAAGGCATGGATGATGAGAGCTTTGAGGACGCCGCCGAGATAGTTCGGGTCCTGGGAAAGATGGTAAAACGCGCCGGCAAGAATAGCAGCACGGGACCTAGCAGCACGTCGGCAGGAACACCAAGAGGGGATATTTCGATGAGCGAGGGCAGCCTGACCCCGAAGGTCCGAAAATCCGTGTCACAGGCGACAACAATGACTTCAGTCTCGCCAGCTCCGGCAAATCAGTCCCCGGTTAAAAGTGATATGCCCTCTACTGCAGTTCCAAATCCAAGTATGATGAATCCTATTTGACTTTGGCGCGTTGACCAAATGATACGACGAGTTCTACGTGCGGATGCCACAGTGAGTTCGTTCCGCTGGCTCATGATTTTTCTGTTTTTTTTTTTTTTTTTATTTGTTCCGCAACCATGGAGTCCTGTCTCACTTCAAGATGCTGCAGTTCTTATTTATCTTTCTTAGCGGATCCTCTATCTTCTCGCTTTCATCTTTCCTTGAATCGGCGGTATGTCGTTGATTATATAATTTGTTATATAAAGTTTGCCCACCATTGATCGAGTGTACTTATAGTGATTGGGTTGGATTGATTATGTCTATATACAGTTTGATACCATGAAATGTGAATGGCTGCTTTCACCACTTGATGTATCGATATCTATGAAGAATTAGAGCAAACCATTGATCAACTGTGGTCAACCATGTAAGGCATCCGAAATCGATGACGGTGACATCCGTTGGTGCCTGAGGCAACAGCCAGGCCAACTGCCCAGCCGCAAAAATTGATTCTCCTCCCGTGCAGAGTCTCAGTCAACGAGTCAAGGTTCCCCAAAAGACGGCAGAACGTGTGTACGGAGTACCAAAAATAAAAATTACCCTTCCGCTCCTGCATGCACGCCTTACTGCCTCGCGAGCTTTGATTGATTGACTGACACCAAAAACTCTTGTCTTGTCTTATGATCCAACCAGGGTCTTCGCTCGAGCGACGCGTCCTCATCGACTTGGCAACCACCAACATCCTCCGTTAACCTGACCTTTACGTTGCAACGAGTCGTCCTTTACGTCATTCAACGGTGATCAAATCCTTGCGGTTCCAGTCGCATTGAGTGGGAGTTGCAACAGTAGACAGCTGATCGGATTGGCTGTCAAAACTCTACTTTTTTTCTTCTCTTATGCTTCGCTCTCCCCACCATCGCGCATTGACTTCAGTCCTTTCGTTGCCGGGGCTTGGATACCCAGACGCAGAAATCTCACGCAACACCTTAGCAAACACCGCCCGTTCCGCCGATCACCCAACGCCAACGAGCCAACAGAGCGACAGAGCAGGAGAGTTTGAGACAAACAGATCTACAAGGCTGCGATTGCACATTCATGCATAGCCCACTCGCAACTTTGATATACAATTAGACCACCCCTCTCCTCGCACCTCATTTTCTGGCAATGAATCTGCTCGTCCCGGAAATTTTATCAGCAAAGCAAAAGATCTCAACAACCGAGAGGACTCGCCCTCACTAGTGCTGTCCTGCGTGCAAGGTTCATGAGTTGTTTAAGATGCGGTCGGGGCTTCAGAAACCCGGTGCAATCCCGTTCTTCGCGCTCATCCTCTTCTCGATACTCAGCCTGGTGCCGTCTCTAGCTAAAGAGTGGGGTTTCTATAATCTGCAGATCGGATATCGAGGCTATACCCGCAATGAGGATTGGCGTATGTGACTCATCCCTCTCTGCTTTTTGTGGTGTCATGCTAACAGGCTGGGAATACAGATCTCCCCCGAGTAAAAGATGGCGCGATCGACGTCCGACCGAGGGCACGCTCGACCGGGGCTCAGTGCAAGCCGTGGCTCGTCGGGGGCTCCTATCAATCCTGTCCCGATCGCAGAGGACGTCCGCGACGCGGTGCGTTGGATGCACCACCTCTCAGCGCATTCGAGGCGGCCGCTGTCTTCGACAATGATCCGATGACACAAACGGTTACCCGGGCATCGAGTCTCACGAGAGGCGTACACGCTTTCAAAGCCTTCTTCATCAAACAATTGGACGACTACCAGATCTTGCAACCATTCTCACCTGGGAGCGCGCCGTCCGTGCCGACTGCCACTTCCCGTCCCGTTCCACCTCCAGTTAATTCGTCCGTCGCGCCAGTCCTCTTCATCAGCGAGGAGCCTCAACACTTGTCTCGTATCACCAATCAGACAACATCAGCCACGAAGCACATTCTGGAAGGCTCTCGGATACGATTTCTCTTGGGTGGCCACTACGCATGGCAGCAGGTCTGCCGTGTGGCTACAGGTTTTCTCACAAGCTTCCCTTCGACGTTAGGCACTGCGCCTCTTTCCTCCGATTCCTCTGAGATAGGATTTCCGCTGCAATCGCCTGGCCAGGAGCCATCGCAGAAGACAGTCCCGCAACCTCTTCCTGTGGATGCACTTTCTGCGCCAACAGAACCGATCACCCAAGCTGCGCCGGCTGCGGGTCAGTCGGAGGTAGCAGGGGTAGACGACAGCCCTAAGAAAATGCGCGGTAGCTGTATGGCTATTGTGATAGGCCTGGTTGTCGGGGTAATGTGGTTCTAGCGGGCTTTATTCTAGACTCGCGCCACTTGAACCCTGATCCAGTGGTCTGGTTGGCAGGCTCCTATATTCGCCATGTTCATGTTTGATGTTTATATACAAAGTCTCTGACAGGGTCTGTTGCTTGGCCTATAATCTGTCGGCAAAGCCCCCCACCCTTTGATCGTCAAAGGGGCTGGTTTTTGATTCTCTGCAGCGATATTGACGCCTTGTCTCTGATACGATTGTACATGCTTTCGTCGCCCTTTTACGTTTGCTACGAAGTTCGCTTGACCTGATATGGGGACTCTGGTTCAGTCCTCATAAGTTCTGACGCTGATGAGGAATACTCAAATTGGCAGTGTACATTAGGGTACCACATACAATACAATAATGTCTGTTGATCCAACAAGGCGCTTACTTGTAGTCAAGACCTTTAGATGCCTAAAGATACTTTGTATGAGATAAGAGCAATGTGGTCTTGCTACAACATACTCCTGTGATACGATACTGCAGAACGGTACCTCAATTCCAGTTGACGGCGCACGGACCAACATCCTGCAATCCGCCGCGATTGGGGATTCTCGACGCGTTGAATGCTCGTGGATCGGTCGGATCTGGAGAAAAGAAGCCTTTTCCATTCCGTATTGGCATCTCTATCCATTTCTGTTTCTACTTATGAGCGCCAGTCTTCTGGAATTTGTACCACTGGTTTTATCAACTTAGGAATCACAGAGCAAGGGATATCCGCCGAGGTCGGAAAGGTGGCGTGTGCCTAAGTCCCTGCCTCTCTAGCTGATTTGGGCATGATTGATGAGCGGTAAGTTGGTATTGATTCTAGGAATGCGTTCGGCGAGAGACGGCTTGTCTGTACACTTTTCTAGGCAAGTCTGGATGGCAGGCGTGATGCTGATGTTGCAATGTTGACGTGATCAAGTGTAGTTGACATGACATGCTAACATCAACACAGGATCAACTACATGAGAGCAGACAGTCACGACTATTTTCCCTTCTGCCAGACCGGAGACGAGGGAGTGGAGTGATCCGGAAAATGATGATCAAGAAACCAAGAGACCGGACCACCCCCTGCTGTGTGTGCAGGTTAAAAAGACGAGGATGCGATCGGCAACGGCCAGGTATTACCCTCGTTCAACCCCTCACTTCCTACGATAGAAGCTGACAGACACAGTATGTGGACGATGCCGTGAGGCAGGCCTGTTGGAGGAGTGCTCCTACCGACCGGAGGACATGCCTCCTCCGCACAGCTCATCTCGGTAGGCACGCCTTGGTTCAATGCATGGCCCCCAGGATAACAAGAATCAGGTCTCTACTTCCGCAGCAACTGAGGCGGCAGAGGTCACTGCCCACGCCGTCACTACCAACACCGTTGGTGGTCATCCGGTCCGCTGCACCGCCCAGCTCTACGTGGAATGGGAGGGAGTCGTCGCCGAGGCGCACGCTGCAGAATTCACGAGAAGCCGGGGCCGGGCTGCGGTATACCCTCGATCTCTTTTCGCATCGGCGAACGCAGTCTGGATCTGCTGTGTATCCTGCTCGAGGTAATCTGTCGCAAGCGCCCGGGCAGATTGATTTCGACGAGGGTTCTGTTGCTGAGTCCGAGGACAAGGGCGATGCGATTGAGGTTTCGTCGAGTCCATCGGATGGGACGTTCCATACTGCTACGCTATCACCGGTGCCTGATCTTGTTCCGGCTGAGAGTCGCGGTGCGCAGGGATCGCATTTTGCGAGGATACAGCAGGCCCAGGAGAGACGGACGGGGAGTGTCAAGCGGGAAGAGCCGATCGAGGATCGTCTGCCGAGATTACGACACTCGTATCTTGCTGCAGGGACGTTTGTCTCTGCTGTGGACGAGGTGGACGAGGAAATGCTAGATTCTCCCGTTGATTTGTCCAAGGAAGATGCAGATCGACTGGTGACCGTCTACTTGAATCTGGATTATGTGTCGCTGCCGATCTTGGATCTATTGGATTTTCGCGCAGCGTACGAAGCAGCTAGCGTTTCTGGGGACTCTACCACGCCGAGCGCATTTCATGCCATTCTGAACACCATCTTTGCGCTTGCCTGTCTCAGTATAGGCGACATGGGTGACGAAAAGGCGAGATACTTCTTCAAAGAGGGCCAGAGGCTGGCCAAGCTGTTCGATCAATACAAGTCTATTGATCTTATTCGATTATACCTCCTACAGATTCAATATCTCAACGCCATAGGTGATCTACATACGGCTTGGGCTTTGATCGGATCTACGATACGCCTCGCACAGTCACTGCGTCTACCTTTCAACGCAAAGCAGCACGAGAACAGCAGAAAAGGCCGAGAGACCTGCCGGAGGCTTTGGCATGGCGGGATGATAATGGAAAGGATTCTTGCGCTGCGGCTCGGCATCGTGCCCCAAACACCCGATCCGCTGCGGGTTCCTCTGCCCACGCACTTGGACACAGACTACGTCGATGTAATTTCGAGCGCACAGTCGAGCGTGCAAGGTGAGCGTGCATCCATAATCGAGTTCTTCACCGCCTGCGCAAGGCTGTACAGGCTTGTCGAGGACGTCATGGCATGGGAGGAGGAAGCAAGGGTTCGGCCTCACGGCTGTGCCATGAAGAAATTACTGTCACTGGATTTCACGCGGTTCTTGAAAGCGGATGGCCTCTTGCATGATTGGAATCTGTCACTGCCATCGTCTCTCCAGAGCAGTGGCTTGCATGGCACAGACGAACACCCAATCGTCGTCCGACAGCGGAATATTCTTCGAGCTCGATCCTTGTATCTTCGGCTCCGGCTAAACCGGCCACTGGTTACTCTGGGATTAGCGCTGTCCAGCAGGTGCAAGTGTAAGTCGGATGGGCGGCCTCACATTGTCGAAAGAAGGCCCTCCCCTGACTCCCCTATCGCGCTGAGCCTGGTCCATGGGGCTTCCATCAAGTGCGTCCGAGCCGCGCTTGAATTGATAGAGCTCATTCGCGTGCATGAGGCTGGCTTGCTTCGACTTGATACACCATGTGACGCAAGTCACTGTCTCATCCCACCCTACTGGGAATGTGTGGACTATCTTTACGTCTGCGGTACAGTCTTTCTTGCTAGCTTCAACCATCAATGTCCTTTCTTCGGAGATATGACCGACGAGGAAGACGAACAATGTAGAGTCCTCTGGCCCTGCATCATAGGCCTTCTCGATCGCTACCAGGGGTATCGTCGACGCGGCCAGACGAGCAATGTAGCCCAGGCGTGCGGTCGTACTCTGAGCGAGCTTTTCAAGGCTGTCGAAGGCAGTTGGGAGGTCGATACGGCGGTATTGGGACAAGACGCGCGAGCGAGGTTCTCTCAGCGGATCGATATGGAGTCACCGATCCGGCACAGACGAATATCAGGCGCGAGCCAGACGGATCCCTTGGGGAATGTCCCTGAGTTCCCGGTGTGGATGGATAGTTTACCAGTTGACCTGGTGGAATGATTTCTGTGGCCTGGAGTTATGTGATACCCTCATTCTGTTGGATATATTGTATGATAAGACTTGATTTGTCAGTAAACCCAGGATAAGATGAGCTGAATACGATGCTGAAGCTGCTGGCAACCCTCACGGCCTCGGTAGTGATAGTATCGCAGCACTCGGAGTCGGTCCGATGGCTGATTGTCCATGGCGTCGTCAACCGCCTTCAACTCATTCAACTCCTTTCAGTTATGGTCTAAGTGCAATTCGGCTTGATCCCTATCGACTCTTGCTTCAAAACTCAAGTCACGATTATCATGAACTTAAAGAGAAGTCTTTGAATTTACAGCATAGTAAATAACTCTCCTGGAGCAGACGTCCGACACCCCCCACGCCCCCAAACATCGGCCCGTAGACCGACCCCGCAAGTCAATTCGGGGCAATTCCCAGCGAGACGGCGGGGTGACTGTCACCCCCTCGCTCGCATTCCTTGTGCTAATTTTTTCCCCTTCTCTTCTCCCTTCTCTCAACAATTCTCCGGTTCCTACAGAGGTATTAACAAGCTCATCAAAATGCAAGCGGCAAATCGTCTCCAGCGGGCTCTCCGCACCGAGCGCGGACTGTCCTTTGGCGCGTGGCAGATGCTTCCCGGTGCGAACCATGCGCGGTTCATGGCGCGGACGGGGTATGATTGGATCTGTGTGGATACGGAGCATGGGAATATTGCTGGTATGCTGGGCCACGACTACAGTGATGAGTTTGTGCGGAATTGATGGCTGACGGTGGTTTTGGGGTTGGTGCAGATTGGCAGATGCATGAGGCTGTTGCGGCGATTGCTGCTACGGGGGTGAGTCCCATTGTGCGGATTGCTGCGAATGAGGGGTGGATGGTGAAGCGTGAGTTGACCTATGATTGAGGGTTGTGGGGATATGTACATATGGGTTAACAGTGGATAGGGGCCTTGGATTCGGGCGCCCATGGAATCGTCGTGCCTCTGCTTTATACCGCTGATGATGCCCGGAGGTTGGTGGAGTCTGCCAAGTTCCCGCCCGTTGGCCGGAGAGGCTTTGGAAGTCCCTTTGCCATGGGCTCGATTGGTGGTGTTTCTTCGTTGGAGTACCTCCAGGGGGCGAACGATGCTCTGCTCACTATCGTGCAGATTGAGACCAAGGAGGCACTTGAGAATGTGAGTTGAAGGGTTGCAAGGAGAGAGGACGGTATTAATTGAGTTGATACACAGGTAGAGGAGATTGCCAAGGTCCCCGGCATCGATGTCCTGTTCATCGGGCCCTGGGATCTGGGAAACAACATCGGCCGGCCCGTCATGGGCGCTTTCCATGAAGACCTCGAGGCTGCGATTGAGCGGATCCGCAAGGCTGCTGTCGATAATGGAAAAAGGGCCGGTATCTACTGCGTGGGTGGTGCGGCTGCAAAGAAGTACGCCGACCAGGGTTTCCACATGGTATGTAGCAGTCTTGTCCCCTTCTTTGGTTGCTTTTCAGGTCGCTGATAATCGCTGATGCAGATCTCCGTTGTCGCCGATGCTGTCGCTTTGCCCACGTTCCTTGCGGATGCCCTTGAGACCGCCAAGGGCAGCAAGACTGATGCCGCCGTTCCCACGTACTAGAATTGATTACCACTTCCCAAATGTATAGTCCTTGCAACTAGAGTGAACGAAGTCTATGATTGTTGTATAGGCTTCTCTGCCACCTATGACTGCATTGTTTCTGCCTCATCGACCAGTTTCTCGACTTCCTGCTCCGTGAACCGGTGGAAAAGCTTCTTCGGGTCGGAGAGTTGATCCCCGAGGGCAGATTGAACATGGAGAACCGGAACATCGAATTCGTAGACGTCCTTCCAGGACTTATTTCCGGGGGCCATAATGTCCAATTCGGAGTAATCAAAGGGCCTCCGCTTTTGTAGCTGGGTCACGGCGTGCTTGGCGGTGTCGCATAGCCCGCAGCCAGCGCGGGTGAAGAGGGTGACACGAGCTTTCGAGAAGAGGGCTCTTGTGGGAAACATGCTGTGGTACGAGGTCTCTTTACCCAGAGCCGAAACGATAAGTCAATGAAGCTCTTGGGTGGCGTTGGGGAACAAACGCGGTCAGAGCCGAGTTCCTCGTGGAACCTTCGAGCTTCGCAGGCTAAACCCGTTTGGGACACGGCGTAGGGGAATGGGGAAGCATCGCAGCAAGATTCTGTATATTTCTACGGCACTACCTGAGTGTTTTGATGCTCAGTTCTCTTGAAGGCCATTTATCTGTCTATATATTTGTCCCAACTTCATCCATCGCAGAGAAAGACTGGCCACATGGCGTCCAAGTGTGTTCACAAAGGGTGCGGTAAAGAATTCACCGATCCCGACGAGGATTGCTTATACCATCCTGGCCCTCCCGTTTTCCACGAAGGTCAAAAGGGTAAGTCAGTCAAGGACCTTGGGGGTGCCATAGGCAGAAGGCCTCTGTCTGACAGTGATCTGCAGGTTGGAAATGTTGCAAACCCCGCGTTCTGACCTTTGAGGAATTCCTGACCATCCCACCATGCACCACCGGCAAGCACTCAACGGTGGACGACACCCCCGCCGAGCCAGAGAAGACCTCGAATGCCACGGCTGTGCTTGAGCAGCAGCCCGCCGTCGCGACACCGGTGCCCGCTCCCCCGCGGCCTGCGATCTCGCCCGCCATCGCCCCTCCTTCGAACGCCGCTACGCCCGTTGTCGAAGAGTCAGAGGACGATGACCCCTCGCTCGAGATCCCGGCCAATGCCACCTGCCGTCGCCGAGGATGTAACAAGGGCTACGATCCGTCTGTACCGCGCGACGAGGAGAAGTGCGTCCATCACCCCGGCCAGCCGATCTTCCACGAGGGCAGCAAGGGATGGTCATGCTGCAAGAAGCGGGTGTTGGAGTTTGATGAGTTCCTGAAGATCCAGGGGTGCAAGGAGAAGACGAAGCATCTCTTTGTTGGGAAGGGGAAGCCCGCTGGCGAGGAGAAGGTCGAGACCGTGAGGTATGCGATCTTCTACGTACCAACAACACAGGCATCGGGAAGCTGACGGTTGCTGTCTTGCAGGAATGACTTCTACCAGACCCCGTCGACGGTCAATGTCTCGCTGTATCTCAAGAAGATTGACAAGGACAACGCCAAAGTCACTTTCTCCTCCACATCGATCGAGTTCGATCTGCCTACGACGGACAACAAGCGGTACAAGGATACGTACCCCCTGTTTGCGCCGATTGACCCGGAGCAGTCTTCTTTCAGGGTCTTGGGAACGAAGCTGGAGCTCAAGCTGATCAAGGCTGATGGGACAAGCTGGCCGGTGCTACGGAGTGATGACAAGTGGACAGGAGAGAGAATTCAGATCGGACAGGCCGGCAGAGCTTGATTATGAACATTTTAACTTCATTATAGTTCGACGGCATTATGAGATCAATGATAATGATTCGTAGGCTTATACGGACTACAAGATTGGTTCTACACCTCGATTGTAGACAGGATACGGAGGTACGATCGTCGAAGGGAAAATTTTCATTCTGATAAATGCGGAGTATAGCAACACGGATAGTCAAGTACTTGTACACACATCAATGCACAACTGTACTTTCAAAAAAGAATGTCACGCCCCCTCCACAGCATAAGCGCATGGGGCTTTAATCTTTCGAAAAAAAGCCCTCGCTCAGCCATGTATTGTAAGGGAAAAAGGAAGACGCACGCAGAGTAAATCCACGCTGCTCTCCAGAGCCGGGAACGGAAGGAAACCCATAGAGAAAAAATTCCCGCAAGAATAGCCTTCAGCGAGCCGTACTTTGACGGAGCTCCGGGTTGAAATTTACATGGTCATGTAAACCTCTACTGATGATGAGGAAAGAAAAGAAAAAGAAAGGGAAGAAGCGTCGCTCAAGAAGTCTTTTTGTAGGTGATCTGGGAGCTTGGCGCTAGTGGTCTTCGGGACTAGTCAGATGCCGAGATGGGTCGTAGCTAGGGTTAGGGTAGCTGATGGCACATGATGGAAAGGCTCGGTGAAGAGTCATGTGATCCCAAAGCTGAAAAGGGGAGAAGAGTCACATGTTGAGAATCACATGCAAATGGTTGAGCTTGGGGACAAAACGGGACTAGTAGTTATCACGTGTTGCCTTTGCCTTGGCGTCAAGCACAAGAGGAGAGCATCATGTCAATGCGGCACGTAAGCAGTTTGTAGTAGTACTCAATTTGAGTGCGACTACGTGGGCGAATGATAGTCAAGCGACACGTAGAACTTCACAGTGGCTTCGATCAACATCGGTTGTCGTCATGCGTGTGATCGAGGGGAAGCCGGAGTTTAGCCTAGATACCTTAGGGACAAGGCCGGCTTTAGTCCTTAGGAGGGGCACCTGGGCTCTTCCAATCAGGTCCAGAGGGCACGAGACCACCGTTTCCCTTTTGTGTCCCTTTCTTCTCCCCTTCCCCTGTTCTATTTTATTTTCTTTGGCTGCAGCTTTCTATCCTTAATCGGTTTACTCGCATTGAATTGGAGCATCGATTGCCGGTCAATTCATGCTTCTGACTTCTCCTGTGCAGAGAATCATCTTCTAGGCGCAAGATCGCTAATTGTTACAGTGCAAAGAAGCCGTAACACAGTGGACAGGTTCGTACCATAAGCGTCGCATAAGCCTCTCAGGCCACCTGAGGCTCGCTGCCCTTGCATTATCTGATGCAATGTCATATCGGTTGACTGTTTTTCCGCAGGATTTCCAGGATACTTGGGATCTCTCCTCCGCTTCGTCTTGTTCAGACAACAAGACTTGATTCGTATATCAGCTTAATGATGGGTTCCACCGGCGATATGAAGGACGATGCCCTTCCCCCTCTCAGATTCATCCCGCTCTCATACAACCCTGCCGATTCCCAGGCCTCTGCGCTCAGGCTTGTTCTAACGCTGAACCCGCAGTGGGAGGGTGCGGACAACAAGATTGAGTTCGTGCGCTTCACGGACGGCATCACGAATACTGTGTGTCTCTTCAGAGGATCGTAATCAAGCCGGATCAGAGCTGTGAACTAATCTCGAGTGTTTTCTAGCTTCTCAAAATCATTAATCGGAAACCCGGCTGGACCGAGGAACAAATAGACCACGAAGCAGTACTGATGAGAGCGTACGGTAACCATACAGAGATCCTCATAGACCGCGAAAGTATGATATGCTCGGGACTCTACCCAACCTCCTTCTCTCTTGCCGAACGCGACCTTGCTGAGTAGACATGCTCTATCTATAGGAGAAACCAGATCCCATGCGCTTCTGGCCAGCCGTGGCCTAGCTCCTCCCCTTCTGGCTCGTTTCCAGAACGGACTCCTCTACCGGTTCATTCGAGGCCGTCCAGCAACCCATACGGACCTGGTGAAGGCTCCGCTCTGGCGCGGCGTTGCCCGAAGGCTGGGACAATGGCATGCGGTGCTGCCTACCGGTGGAAACAGCGCGTCCGTCCCACCCGCCAAAGACCTTTCCTTCTCCCACCAAGTAGATGTCGACCCTCAACACCAGGACAAGCAAGAAGATGCCTTGCCTACCATCAAGCCCCGAGTATCCGGTCCCAACATGTGGACTGTTCTGCAGAAATGGGTCCTTGCTCTTCCCACCACGACCGAGGAGCAGCGCACGCGTAGACGCGCCTTGCAGAAGGAGTTGGAACGCGTTGTGCATGAGATGGATGATGGACGAGGTCTTGGTGACGACGGAGTATGTCATCTCTCTTTTCTGAGTGGCACGACCGCCTACTGACATTGAGCAGCTGGTCTTCGCCCACTGTGACCTCCTCTGTGCCAACGTCATCGTCCTGCCGCCGTCGGAGGGTCCTACCGCTGCCACAACCTCAGATGAAAGAGCGGTGACGGTGCAATTCATCGACTATGAATACGCGACCCCATCTCCGGCCGCTTTTGATATTGCCAACCATTTTGCCGAATGGGGCGGATATGATTGCGACTACAGCATGATGCCTACGCGATCCGTTCGCCGACAATTCCTGACCGAGTATGTCAAAAGCTACAGCCAATTCCGGGGAATCCCCGCATCTTCCCAGCAGGAGATGGTCGACCGATTATATGAGGATGTCGATCGATTCCGTGGCATTCCCGGATTATACTGGTATTTTCCCTGCATCACTGCCAGATGAACTCTGAACTGACAGGCTCAGGGGCGTGTGGGCGCTTATCCAAGCCCAGATCTCGCAGATCGACTTTGACTATGCGTCCTACGCGGAGACCCGGCTTGGAGAATACTATGCGTGGCGTCGAGAAGTGGACGGCTCTCGGGCACAGGCGGGTGAGGAGATGCCCCTGCGAGAACGTCGGTGGGCACAAGAAGCCTAGTCCGCATTACCAGTACTCTGTCTTAATTGTATATAATCATGATTTCCATAGAGCGATGGCATTTGCCGTCCGTCCTGGGGTTTCAACAATATCCCTGAGGATGTGGATGCGATTCAGCTTTAAAAGAAAAGCATTCTATCAGATATCATTCAATTGCTATGATACTTTATGCTGTGCGACGGGACGACGTGTGCATCAACAATATCCCTAGGGTCGCCTTCGTATACAATGATATATATCGTCCTCGTTAAAATTGTTACCAACTACCAATATTGAAGTGTAGTTTCAGCGTTCATGATATACAATTCACTTGATAGATACACGCTCTAATGAAATGTCGCTCTATGACTCAAAGTGAAAAAAAAGTTACAAACGATGCTGCAACGCCGACGAATCAGACGCACCCGAAGCAAATGACGACGACGCAGACACAGACGCAGGAGACACCTCCAGCTTCAACGCCTCCACCAACTTCACCCACGACCGATACCCCCGGATGGCATGAGCCTCGGGCGTGGCGGGGTCCGGGTCCGCCAGCGTCCTCGAGAACAGCTCGAGCGACACCCACCCCTCGAACCCGAGATCGAAGAACGCGCGCGCCACCTCCAGCACAGGCAGATAGCCGCCGCGCTCCGGCTCGAAGGGGAACAGCCTGGCGTTGCGCGACCAGCTCATGCGGGCGGGCTGGCCGGGCACGTGGAACGGGTGGTGCGCGTCCAGCGGGGCGGCGAGGCGCTCGCCATCGACGAGCTGCAGGTAGAAGACCTTGGCGACGTCGACGCGCGCCCGCAGCCGCTGCAGCGAGGCGTGCAGGTCGGCCTCGGCGTGCGGGGTTGTGCCGCTGGGCGCGGCGGGGTCCGCGTAGACGCGGCCGGCGAGGTTAAAGGTGTCGAGGCAGAGGCCGAGGTTGGGGCGGTCGACGCGCGCGACGACGTCCCAGGCCTGCTCCCAGGTGTCGATGTGGGTGCCCCAGGCGAGGGCCTCGTAGACGAAGCGGACGGGCGGGGACTGGGCGCGGCCGAGGTCTGCGAGGCGCTGCAGGTCGGCGACGATGGTGGGGAGATGGCCGGTGGTGCGGGACTCGCCGGTGGCCGGGTCTGGCGGGAGGAAGTTGGAGGGGATCTGGATGAGGTCTGTGTTGAGGATGCGGGCGAGGAGGAACCATTGGGGCAGCTTTTCGGTGACGAGGTGCTCGTGCTGGGTGCGGTCGAGGAGACCCTCGTAGAAGAGAAAGGGCTGCAGGCAGATGATGGAGAGGCGGAGGGTGTCGCAGAGCCGGCGGACCTCGTGCGCGGCGGCGATGAGGCAGCCGTTGAAGCTGGAACGGGCCAGGAAGTCGAGGTCGTCGAAGAAGAGCTCGATGCCTTGGTAGCCATGCCGCGAGGCTTGATGGAGTTTGGTGGGCAAGTCGTGGATCCCGGGGCGGCCTAGGGACATGGACCCGATTCCTAGACGGTTGGGCATTGTGCAATCTGCTTTGGTTGATCTGTTCTAGATGCAATATCTGTATTGCCAGACGAGATGAGTTTAACTTATAGATGGAACAGTCAAATTGCGATTGCGTACGTGTCCCCCGACGCGGCTCAGCCAAAGGACGGAAGCTTGATTGGACGGTCCCAGTCCTGACCTGGACTGATATCTGCTCTTTTGTAGACATCCTGTCCGCATAAACCGGAGATATCTGTTAGAAGTATGGAAACAGAAGAGATTCCAGAGTTGGAGGATGGCGCCGGTTAAGCGTTTACCACTGCCAGCGTTTATCCGCTGAGCCAATTGCATGCATATATATGCATACCGGCAATGGGCAAGGAATGATCTGGGGTGGATTACCCCAGACGATGCATGAGATGACCGAGGACTCTTTCTCCTGCATTTATTTATCACCGCACGATTGATTGACTGAGGAATTCACCCTTGGACGATGTCCCTCCGAGTCATCGTCGTCGGCGCCGGCCTCATCGGCCCTCGACATGCCCAATCCGTCCTATCCAACCCATCCACCGAGCTCGTGGCCTTGATCGATCCAGCCGACAGCGCAGCCCTCGTCGCCTCGCAGCTGCAGACGAGCCACTTCCCCTCCATCCCCGCCATGCTCGACGCCATCCCCAAGCCCGACGCCGCCATCGTCTGCACCCCCAACCACACCCACGTCCCCCTCGCCAAGGAGCTCCTCGCCCACGGCATCCACGTCCTCGTCGAGAAGCCCCTCAGCGACAGCCTCGAAGCAGGCCAGTCCCTGCTGGCCTTCGCGCGCCGCCCCGAAAACGCCCACCTCGCCCTCCTCGTCGGCCACCACCGCCGCTTCAACCCCTACGTCCAGCAAACCAAGCACCTCCTCGCCACGGGCTCCCTCGGCACTCCCATCGCCATCGCCGGCCTCTGGACCCTCTACAA